GACAGTTGTTAATGAAGGTTTGAAGTTTGTTTGAGATGCTCTTTATGACTCGCCAAGTCTCTGATCCGTATAGTAGCACTGACTTCACATTGGAGTTGAAAATCCGGATCTTATTTTTGATGCTGAGTGCTGTTGACCTCCACACAGATTTGAGAGTAATGAAAGCTTGTCTTGCTTTTCCGATTCTGGCTTTGATGTCCTCGTCAGTTCCGCCTGTAGTTGAGACGATGCTTCCCAGGTAGGTGAAGGAGGTTGTTTCTTTCAGGTTCTTCCCATTTATGCTTATTGTTGACTGTTGTTGTTGCTGTTGATGTTGGCTAGGAATCTTCATCATCTCTGTTTTATCTATGTTCACGTGAAGTCCTATCTTTGATGCTTCTTCTGCCAACTTGTTACTTTTCACTTGCATATCTTCCAGTTTATGGGAAATCAGACATATATCATCGGCGAAATCCAGATCCTCCAAGTCTTTTGTGTCAGTCCATTTTATGCCTGTTCCCTCGTTGGTTGCCGTTGTCTGTCGCATTATCCAATCAATTGCAATCAGGAAGATCATTGGTGATAGTAGACAGCCTTGCCTCACTCCCGTCCTCACTTCGAAGGCTTCCGTAAGTTTCCCGTTGTGGATTACTTGGCATGCAGCATTGTCGTATAACTGTTGGATGAGGTGTATAATTGTCGATGGGACCCCGTAGTAGCGAAGTAGTTTCCAAATGACCTCTCGATCGACGCTGTCGAAGGCCTTTTCAAAGTCGATGAAGTTGAGATAGAGAGGTGACTGCCATTCCAAGCTTTGTTCAATGATGATCCGTAGAGTGGCGATTTGATCAATACATGATTTGTTTCTCCTGAATCCAGCCTGTTCCGGACGAAGTTTTTCATCTAGGGCTTGTTTGATTCTCTCCAGGATGATGCGACTTAGTATCTTGCTTGGAATGGACAGAAGCATAATTCCACGCCAGTTTTTACATTGACTTAAGTCTCCTTTCTTTGGAAGTTTGAATAAGTATCTGTTCTTCCAATCCTCGGGTACTTTGCCCTCTTTCCACACCTTCTCCAGCAGTGGTGTCATCAAGTCCGCTGTTGTCTCTGGGTCTATTTTCAAAGCCTCTGCTGGGATTCCATCTGGTCCCGGTGTTTTCCCAGCTTTAAGCATCTTGATTGCATTCAGGACTTCTGATTTCGTCGGGGGGTCAGTGTTCACTGGTAGTTCTGCTTCCGTTGTTGGTATTGCTGGACGTGTTGTAGGTGGCGGACGATTTAGAAGTCTTTTGAAGTGTTCAACCCAGTGCTTTCTCTGTTCCACCTCTTTGGTGATTGACTTTCCATTGTCGTCCTTTATTGGCTTAATCTGTGTCGAACGTTTGCCCGAAAGGTTCCTAGTTGTTTGGTAGAGTGTGGCGAGGTCTCCTTTGCCTGCAGCTTGTTCTGCTTCGTTTGCCATGGTTTCATAATATTTTCTTTTGTCTTCCCTGGCACTTTTCTTCACTCTTTTGTTCAGTGTATTGTAGCTTGCATTCAGCTCCTGTTTTTGTTGCTCGTCAGTGCACTGGATAATCTTTTGCTTCACTGTCCTTCTCTCTTCTATTAGTTTCCAAGTGTCCGTAGTGAGCCACTGTTTGTCCTGTCTCTTTTTTCTGCCTAGAATTTCTATGCAGGTTTGGCTCCACACCGTTTTCAAGTTGTTCCAGTGCTTTTCGACGCCGACCTTTTCGCTGGTGTTGATTTGTGTCTCAGCTTTGTCCTTTATGCTTGCAATGAAGATGTCCTTTGTAGCCTGGTCCTTCAGCTTTTGAGTGTTGAACTTGGCTTGTGGTCTATCTGCAGCTCCTGATTCCCTGAAAGCTTTTAATTTGATTTGGATTGTCCCTTGTACGAGATAGTGGTCTGAGCCAACGTCTGCTCCTCTTCTTGCTTTTGTGTCCAGTAGGCTGCGCCTCCACTTCCTTGAGATTGAGATGAAGTCGATTTGGTTTTTGTCTGTTTGAATGTGTGGGTTTTCTGTAAACACTAGTGTTTAGCTTCCCATCTTCTTTCCTTTTTACGTTGCAATCTAACATTGGAAGTTCCCCTTCCTGACTTTCCAATTCATAAGTGAATTGAATTGCCTCTACCTTCGAGTTGATGTGCTCGAAAAATCTATCTATATCTTGTGTTCTAAGTACAGTGAATGTGTCATCTACATACCTCCACCATACTTTTGGGGTGGGGGTGAACGTTTCAATCGCCATCTTTTCCCACCTATCCATGAATATATCTGCTACCACCGGGGATATTGGTGATCCCATGGCAACTCCCTCAGTTTGTTTGTATATTTTCCCTTGGAATTTAAATACTGTAGAAGTCAGGCAAAGCTGCACTCCCAGCATTATGTCCTCAATTGGCACTTTTGTCCTAAGTTCGAGTTCTTGGTCAGAAATGAGTTCGTTTCTGACTGTCTCTATAGCCATATTTATTGGTATACGTGTATATAAACTGACAATGTCAAAACTAACCATTTTTTCTTCATTATCTAATTTTAAATTATCTAATCTGTGTTTTAGTTCATAAGAATTAGTTAGTCTAGATTTCGAGTGGATTCTTAGGGGATTTAATACCATGGCTAAATATTTAGATAATTCATAGGTAGGTGAATTTCTAAAATCAACTATAGGCCTAATAGGGTATATGAATTTTAACAACACCATACATCCTACTGGGGTTATTAGTTTTTGGCATTAAATTAAACCACTTAGACTCACCTAGAAACGGCTTCATTCGGCGTATAAGGTCCGCTGTGGATTTCTTAACTTTATTCATAACTGTGTCTATTGATTTATTAATTTCCTCATATGGTCCTCTTTGTATGTGAGTACTAAGATTTGGTTTTTGGTTTGCCCGTCTGGTGACACCCATGTAGCCTTGTGGATATCTTTGTGCTTGTATACACTGCCACCAATCACCAGTTCGTTGAAGGCGCAGAAGTCGGCGAAGAGTTCTCCGTTTTCATTCATTTCTCCTAGAGCTTCTCTACCCATGATGAGTTCCCTTCCCGTATTGTCTGGTCCCAGTTTGGCGTTCATGTCTCCCATTAGTATTTTCATGTCGCCAGCTGGAGTATTGTCCATTGTTGCCTGTAGTTGCCTGTAGAATTCTTCTTTCTTCTCGAGGTCTGCGTTGTTTGTGGGTGCATAACATTGTATGATTGACACTTTCCTTCCTTTGGAGTTGAACCTGGCGGTCATTATCCTGGACGAAATCGCCTCCCATTGTATCAGGGCTTTCGTTGCCGTTGGTGACATCATGATAGCCACGCCCTCGGTGTGCGTGTGGTTATCTTCTGGGTGACCGGAGTAGATCACTGACTCACCTGTTGACAATTTGGTGAGTCCACTCCCATTCCATCTGCTCTCACATATTCCCAGCACTTGTATTCCGTATCTTTTCATCTCGTTGGCGATCTGGGCAGCTTTCCCAGTCTCGTACATAGTTCGGACGTTCCATGTTCCTACACAGACTTTTTCTTTTGGTGCAAGGAGGTTCATCATACTGAAGTTTCTGTAGCAATTTTTGTTTACAGGGTGGGGTTGCTAGCCTCACGCCTGAGAAAGGAATGATTACATTAAGTAAAAGTTTAGAGAGAAGCAACTTTTTGGGTTGCTCCCCTCAAAATCAGAAAATAACGGACAAACAATGAGAACAACATCAACAAAGGAAACAGTTCACAGAAAAAAGGGCAAAAAGCGACGACAACTATACAATAAGACAACATGCAATATAGTTCAGCACAGTTAACTAAAATGATATCTTAACCATAAACTCACTGACTTGGAGCAACTTGAACATATAAATCCAACAATATATACAATTATAGATGTGTTTATGTTTAAAAATTCCACAAATCCAAACAGTGGGTTATGTGTATTATCTGTCAATAAGATTGTATTTTTTGGATTCAGTGTTCGAAAGGTTAATAACTGTGATAATTTCCGCAAACTCTTTGCATAAAATTTTAGAGTAATAAGAGTTTTTATCAATGAGCAAAATGTAGCGTAATAGTCGAAAAAAAAGTGTACAGCTGTAGAAATTAGTCCATTGAGAAGCAAAGTCACCAAAAGAAATTCGAATTATCCGGCTGTCTTGAAGTAATGAACAGACTCCTGCTTAAATCATTGGGCTACCGAAATTACTTTCCGCCAAAATGCTTAATTTCACCTGGATTTATCATTGTTTTAATCGTCCAGTTATATCAAATGACCTATACTTAAACTTGCGCGATGATTTAACTTGCTCCCAAGTAAACACTGTACAATTCTTCAACGAAATGAAGATATACTTCAGATTATTACTTTACATGTGAATTCTGCGTGAAGAAAAAATTACTTTGGAACTGAATACGCTGAAAATTTTTGTACCGTATATTCGCATACTGTCTTAAATAAAGCATCACCACTACTATTATTTTCATTATTATTATTCATTGTTTAGTTCCATGCAGACCATACATTCGTAATTATTCATCGTGGCCACTTGCTTTAAATTCATCGGAGTACTTAAAGTATTACGCGTTGAGAGTAAAGTGTTAGAAATTCCTGAATAGGACATTTGTGACCTCTGACACTCAGCATACTGGCTAATCCGTATCTAATCTTTCATACACGAATGTTCCCTCAGAAACTTAAAAATTGTACCACGTAGCCTTGACGTTTAAGATGTCATCGACAAACTCTTCCGGTTACCAATGACCATACATAAGATTAAATTATCGATATTATTAGGTCATTAGAGGTAATTAGTTTAACAGCTCGATACGAAATTCTCTGCCGAAATTTTACGATTTAGTGTACTACCAAGTGCAACTGCAGTATAAGCAGGACATTTTGTCCTTTTGATGCGCTGGAGTTCATTTTATTACAAGTTAGGCTTTAATTATTGGAATGATTTAAGATAAATATAACTAGTGTCAATACTTTTTACTCTAAAGATCAATCAGTAAAATATATAACAAGATAATACCTTACCTGTTGCCTTATCTTCACAAATTAAGCAAAGCATTCCAGATTTTAAAATATTTTGATTTTGCCGCTTTACAACTTCATCGTCATCATCATCAGATATGTTTATTTTTATTGGAGATTTAACTCTGTTCAGCTTATGCTTAACACTGTTATAATTTGTTGTTTCATGAAATGAATTCATATTTATATTGCTGTTATTATTATTAATCGTTTTACGAGTGATATTACCGTTTTCAACATCTGATTGTCGTTGATGACTAGGCATCTCACTCTGATGTTGTTGCTGCTGTTGCAGCAAAAGAAGAGAGTTGAAGTCATTATTTGTATGATTATGATGTAACGGTATCACATCAGCTTGTTCATAGTTATTTTGATGTTTCTCCTGGTGTTGTTGTTGTTGATTTTGCAAATAATATTGATAGTAATGATTATGCGAATGAGGATAGAAATGTGGGTGTGGATTGAAATGATGGTGATTATGATGATGATGATGATTTAATGAAGACGATGAATAGTCTGTATTATCTATTGCTGCTGCGGCGACTGCAGCCACGGCTGCTGCAGCTACATTGGCAACATCTTGAGGTAAAGCTGTTTCACAATTGTTGATTTCATTTATATACGGGTTCATATTAACATTATTATTATCATTATGAATTACAGCTGATATATCATTAACTTGTATTGAATGCTCATCACTATCTACTGTATAATGCATATATGCTTGATGTTCATCAACATGATGATGATTATGGTTGGAATGGTGGTGGTGATTGTGGTGATAATGTTGTTGATCATGATGCTGATGCTGAAACTGATGAGAAGCAGCTGGAATAAGAATAGGAGGTGGAATGGATGGATGGCTGGTAATATCGTTCATCATATCTGTTGACTGATTAGTTATATAATTTGGCAAACACTGAATCGAATCAGAGTTGGTGTTGGTGTTGTTGTTGTTGTTGTTAAGACAACCGTCATCATCGTCATGTGGAATATTGTTATCTGTTGATAAAAAGGTAGTAATCATTCAGCTTCTACTGGTTTTATTTCTCTTCTAATAAGGATTAAACGAGGTAACACAAAATCTATAAGATGAAATGAAAAATAAAAAGCAAAATCTAGAAATATGCAAACAAATTTAGCGTATTAATTTAATTCACTTTGGACTTTCTAGTTGATTAACTGGACTGAAGTATCCGGCCTCTGTTGACATGTTGGTTCCTGGTGCAGATGCTTCAACGATGTCTGAGGATTTAACTTGAAGTATATTTGTGGACGGTGACTAGCAGTGGAATCAAGGATGTACATTTCGCCATCTGGATGTACCTGCATTCCCTATTGAGTGGTGGTGTTCCCACTGCTTCAAACGCCAAAGCCCTATCTACTAGATCAAGAGAACTACCTCTGGTGTGACCGACGAAATGCACATCCTGGATTCCACTGCTAGTCACCATCCATCGGATCGCTTCAATTCACTATATTGTTTACTATTGAGTAGAAGCAGTTCGAAAAGAGTTAAAAATGAACAAGAAATATTAGGCTACTGAAAGAAGTTAGGATGTGCGGGCCACTGTATTCCATCCCAGCAGCTCAACGGACAACTAAGTCGTCTCGAAACCTGGTGTTAAGGTCGATACCAAGTGAAACCATGGGTGATTACTCCTGAAGAGTCCCAAACAAGTACTCCATGCTTTTTACTACTTATCTAATTCATTGCTGTCCATGATCAAACTTGAAATAATAAGCAGTTGTTTACCCAGTGATCAATCCTTCTTTGGTACGATTTCAAACCAATTCTTAAAGACTACTAAAGAACAAACGAAGTATACGGTTTGTGAGAAACTATCCAAGCTGCTAAATTTGTATCACTGTAATGTTGTTTATATATATATATATATGTTATTAATAATGATATAATTTAGATCACTTAGGAATCATGACTGAGATCAAATGGATTTTTATCATAAGTTAGTATCAGGACATTCAAAAATGTAAATCCCTTTTCTTGTCCCATCTTCATGGTGAGAGCTTCAATGAATTTAAATATCTGACCCACATCTATTATATATATATATATATGGGTTTAAAGACACTCCCGAAATCAACTATATGACCCATCTCCATATCTGGAAGAAAATGACTACTACTTGTCATTTTGAGATGTGCTCATAACTCACTGACAGGATGGGTCAGTAAGTTGGGCAATTTACAAGAAGTACACGTGGACAGGACATTATCTAAAATTGTCCATTGTCCACTCCAGTGTAAGAATGCATTAGTTAAGTGCTTGCTGACACATATTCAGCGTATATGTACTGATGATACCATTGAAGAAGACCATGTAAAATCTCATTAAAATGTTATTAGGGGACAATTATCCTCTGAAGATTAATAAAAACTCTCGTTTCTGTAAAATTTTATGCCAAGAGTTTGTGGAAACTATCACAATTATTTACCTTTCGAACACTGAATCCAAGAAATACAATCTTATTGACAGATAATACACATAACTAACTGTTTGGATTTGTGGAATTTTTAAACATAAACACATCTATAATTGTATATATTGTTGGATTTATATGTTCAAGTTGCTCCAAGTCAGTGAGTTTATGGTTAAGATATCATTTTAGTTAACTGTACTGAACTATATTGCATGTTGTCTTATTGTATAGTTGTCGTCGCTTTTTGCCCTTTTTTCTGTGAACTGTTTCCTTTGTTGATGTTGTTCTCATTGTTTGTCCGTTATTTTCTGATTTTGAGGGGAGCAACCCAAAAAGTTGCTTCTCTCTAAACTTTTACTTAATGTAATCATTCTTTTCTCAGGCGTGAGGCTAGCAACCCCACCCTGTAAACAAAAATTGCTAAAGAAACTTCAGTATGATGAACCTCCTTGCACCAAAAGAAAAAGTCTGTGTAGGAACATGGAACGTCCGAACTATGTACGAGACTGGGAAAGCTGCCCAGATCGCCAACGAGATGAAAAGATACGGAATACAAGTGCTGGGAATATGTGAGAGCAGATGGAATGGGAGTGGACTCACCAAATTGTCAACAGGTGAGTCAGTGATCTACTCCGGTCACCCAGAAGATAACCACACGCACACCGAGGGCGTGGCTATCATGATGTCACCAACGGCAACGAAAGCCCTGATACAATGGGAGGCGATTTCGTCCAGGATAATGACCGCCAGGTTCAACTCCAAAGGAAGGAAAGTGTCAATCATACAATGTTATGCACCCACAAACAACGCAGACCTCGAGAAGAAAGAAGAATTCTACAGGCAACTACAGGCAACAATGGACAATACTCCAGCTGGCGACATGAAAATACTAATGGGAGACATGAACGCCAAACTGGGACCAGACAATACGGGAAGGGAACTCATCATGGGTAGAGAAGCTCTAGGAGAAATGAATGAAAACGGAGAACTCTTCGCCGACTTCTGCGCCTTCAACGAACTGGTGATTGGTGGCAGTGTATACAAGCACAAAGATATCCACAAGGCTACATGGGTGTCACCAGACGGGCAAACCAAAAACCAAATCGACTTCATCTCAATCTCAAGGAAGTGGAGGCGCAGCCTACTGGACACAAAAGCAAGAAGAGGAGCAGACGTTGGCTCAGACCACTATCTCGTACAAGGGACAATCCAAATCAAATTAAAAGCTTTCAGGGAATCAGGAGCTGCAGATAGACCACAAGCCAAGTTCAACACTCAAAAGCTGAAGGACCAGGCTACAAAGGACATCTTCATTGCAAGCATAAAGGACAAAGCCGAGACACAAATCAACACCAGCGAAAGGTCAGCGTCGAAAAGCACTGGAACAACTTGAAAACGGTGTGGAGCCAAACCTGCATAGAAATTCTAGGCAGAAAAAAGAGACAGGACAAACAGTGGCTCACTACGGACACTTGGAAACTAATAGAAGAGAGAAGGACAGTGAAGCAAAAGATTATCCAGTGCACTGACGAGCAACAAAAACAGGAGCTGAATGCAAGCTACAATACACTGAACAAAAGAGTGAAGAAAAGTGCCAGGGAAGACAAAAGAAAATATTATGAAACCATGGCAAACGAAGCAGAACAAGCTGCAGGCAAAGGAGACCTCGCCACACTCTACCAAACAACTAGGAACCTTTCGGGCAAACGTTCGACACAGATTAAGCCAATAAAGGACGACAATGGAAAGTCAATCACCAAAGAGGTGGAACAGAGAAAGCACTGGGTTGAACACTTCAAAAGACTTCTAAATCGTCCGCCACCTACAACACGTCCAGCAATACCAACAACGGAAGCAGAACTACCAGTGAACACTGACCCCCCGACGAAATCAGAAGTCCTGAATGCAATCAAGATGCTAAAAGCTGGGAAAACACCGGGACCAGATGGAATCCCAGCAGAGGCTTTGAAAATAGACCCAGAGACAACAGCGGACTTGATGACACCACTGCTGGAGAAGGTGTGGAAAGAGGGCAAAGTACCCGAGGATTGGAAGAACGGTTACTTATTCAAACTTCCAAAGAAAGGAGACTTAAGTCAATGTAAAAACTGGCGTGGAATTATGCTTCTGTCCATTCCAAGCAAGATACTAAGTCGCATCATCCTGGAGAGAATCAAACAAGCCCTAGATGAAAAACTTCGTCCGGAACAGGCTGGATTCAGGAGAAACAAATCATGTATTGATCAAATCGCCACTCTACGGATCATCATTGAACAAAGCTTGGAATGGCAGTCACCTCTCTATCTCAACTTCATCGACTTTGAAAAGGCCTTCGACAGCGTCGATCGAGAGGTCATTTGGAAACTACTTCGCTACTACGGGGTCCCATCGACAATTATACACCTCATCCAACAGTTATACGACAATGCTGCATGCCAAGTAATCCACAACGGGAAACTTACGGAAGCCTTCGAAGTGAGGACGGGAGTGAGGCAAGGCTGTCTACTATCACCAATGATCTTCCTGATTGCAATTGATTGGATAATGCGACAGACAACGGCAACCAACGAGGGAACAGGCATAAAATGGACTGACACAAAAGACTTGGAGGATCTGGATTTCGCCGATGATATATGTCTGATTTCCCATAAACTGGAAGATATGCAAGTGAAAAGTAACAAGTTGGCAGAAGAAGCATCAAAGATAGGACTTCACGTGAACATAGATAAAACAGAGATGATGAAGATTCCTAGCCAACATCAACAGCAACAACAACAACAGACAACAATAAGCATAAATGGGAAGAACCTGAAAGAAACAACCTCCTTCACCTACCTGGGAAGCATCGTCTCAACTACAGGCGGAACTGACGAGGACATCAAAGCCAGAATCGGAAAAGCAAGACAAGCTTTCATTACTCTCAAATCTGTGTGGAGGTCAACAGCACTCAGCATCAAAAATAAGATCCGGATTTTCAACTCCAATGTGAAGTCAGTGCTACTATACGGATCAGAGACTTGGCGAGTCATAAAGAGCATCTCAAACAAACTTCAAACCTTCATTAACAACTGTCTCCGCTCAATACTCAAGATCAGATGGCCAGAAAAGATCAGCAACAGGGATCTCTGGGAGCGAACCAATCAGGAACCGATTGTGAAACAAATAGGCAGAAAGAAATGGAGATGGATTGGCCATACGCTGAGGAAACCATCAAGTGACATCACTAGACAAGCCCTCGAGTGGAACCCGAAAGGGAGGCGGCGAGTTGGTCGTCCAAGGGTGACTTGGAGGAGGTCATGCGAGGAGGAGATGAAAGCATGTGGACAGACCTGGAGCAGGGTGAAAAAGTTGTCAGAAAACCGAAGTCAATGGAGGTGCGCAGCTGAAGCCCTATGTTCCTCTAGGAACTAAAGGATACAATAATAATAATAATATCCTCTGAAATCCACTTTCAACTATATAACTGACAAACAAAATGTTCCAACAATCCGATCAGCTCCCGAAATGGATATGTACGTTTCAAGGGTGGTTACTAAGTTGTGATCAATAAACAAAGACTTAGAGAATCATTCTGTTGAATTTATTT